TTTACTGGAAGCCTTTCCCAACCCTTCTTAATTCTAGTGACTTTCCTCTATTAACTGTATTTCCTATTTATCCTGTATATGGCTTACTTTGTGGATATTTTTTTTCAGGTTGTCTCCGCCATTATATTGTAAGCTCCTTGAGTCAGGACTATCTTTTGCTTCTTTTTGTATCCCCAGCCCTTAGCACAGTGCCTGACACATAGTAAATGCTTGAGATGCTTATTGATTAATCACTTATATTGATCTCTGACTTTTAAAGGCCACATATAGCTGTGATTCATTAAGGTCTATCTGGGGCAGTTAGGTGCTGCAGTGGATACAGCACCAGACCTGGGGTCAGGAAGACTCATATTCCTGAGTTCAAATCTGGACTCAGACACTTACTAGTTGTGACCCTGGGCATTCACTTAACCCTGTTTGCCTCGGTTTCCTCAATTGTAAAATGAGCTGGAAAAGAAACTGGCAAACCCCAAATGGGGTCACTAAGAATTGAATACAACTGAACAACAAGGTATCTGCCCTCCCAAAGCCCTTTATCTTTTAAAGTTGATAACCTCATCAAATATTTTCTGTTCTATCTCCCATTTCCTCAGAGCTCTAATTTCAAAGGTCAATTAATGAAATGTTAAAACATTAATTGGCTACAATGTTATTTTGCATAAGAAATATGTTTGCATTTTAAAAAGGGAAGACTAGACATGTATACCTTAGATCAAAAGGGAGAGTGATTTTGGAACATCCTTCAGGTCATATCATACTTAACTGCAATTAAATTTCCCTAAAGTCAACAACATAAATAGATGTCAGTCATCTCTTTGTTTACCGGAAAGCTTTCATCTCAGGTGACAATGAGTGGATTTTTGTAAAACTTTGCTTTTGTCAACTAAGGAAGCTTTAGGTGGCTAGATATGTGGCAGAAAGCTGGTTTGAAACAGTGAACGTCTGAATTACAAATATTGTTAAAATGTCAAAGCCCTAACAGATAATCAGGTAGACCAGGGATTTAGGAGAAGCTTTGCTTTAGTGAATAAATTAGAAAGATTTTGTCATCACAGTTACAGAACGAATAGTGTCAGAAGGGACCTCAGAGGATATTTAATTTAACCCATAAATAAACAAAGTCTATCTATAATATACACCACCCTCTAGCAGTCTTTCAGCATACAACATATCCACTAAGTTCTCCTTTAGCCTTTGCTTCCTAGTGAGGGTGATCCCACTCCCTTCTGAGACAACCCAAAACATGATTTCAGTTGTGTCTGACTCGTTGTGACCTCATTTGGGGTTTTCTTGGCAAAGAAACTGGAGTGGTTTGCCATTTCCTTCTCTAGCTCGTTTTACAGATAAGAAAATGGAAGCAAATAGGATTAAGTGACTTGCCCAAGGTCACACAACTAGCAAGTGTCTGAAGCCAGATTTTAATTCAGGAAGAGAGGTCTTTCTGATTGCAGGTCCCCCATCTACTGCGCCACCTACCTGTCATTTTAATTTTCCATTTTTAGTTAGCTCTAATTGTTATGAAAGCTTTTCCTTTCATTAAGTCCACATTTCCCAATTTTTGACTTCTACTCACTTCTAGTTTTACCACCTGGGGCCAAACAGAAGAAATTTCATGCTTAATCCATATGACAGCCCTTCAAATCCTGGTCTTATCAAGCCCCTCTTAAACCTTATCTTCTCCAGGGTTAGTCAACCACTCCAGTTCTACTGATCAATCCTCATCCCATGATTATAAATCCCTTTACTACCCTAATCACTTGCTAATATGGTGTCCAGAACTAAACATGGTAATTCTGATGCAGTCTAACCAGATCAGAGCATCCCTTTGGTCCTGGACACTCTGCTTCTCTTAGGATGATCTAAGATCATCTTAGTATTTTTAGCTGCTGCTTCATACTTTGGACTCACATTGATCTTGCATTAGCCTTCCAGATTAGTTTCAGATAATCTATTGCCCAGCCACATCATTCTCATCTGGTACTGAAGATTTTATATTTGTCTCCTTTAAATCTCATCCTTTTAGATGTGGCCCAATCTTCTAGCCTGCTAAGATCTCTTTAGATTCTGATTTTGTCATTCACTGTTAATTATCCTTCTAGTGCTTTGTCTTCTGCAAATTTGTTAAGTGTGCCATTTATACATTTGGGTCAAACATAGCACTGAGCCATTGATGATTGTTCACATCATGAATCAGTCCAGACTCTGTGGCCATTTTCTTTAAGGCATGGTCATTCTTTCCACCTCAGAATAAGTTCCACCCTGGCCTGGCTGTCTTGATTGGTAACTACTTCTTCTAGACCATTTGAATAAAATCTTCAGCCATGATTCTCTTCACTTTGCTACCAATGCTTGCTGGCTCGTATCAGGCCATTTCTTTCAATACTCATCTGCCTTTTCTCCTTCCCTCCTCTTGTCGCACCCTCCCTCCTCCCTCAACCTTTCTGGATCTAAGGACTATGCTGCATTGTTTTCAGATAGGGTGTGTCAATCATCTTCAGCTCTATCACTATCCCAGTAACTTTCCAGACCAAAGTCCTTCCCAGGCCACCAGTCCTCATTGTATATAATTGCTCTCATTAGAATCTATGCCCTAATTACAGTCTTTGCTTTTTGTATTTGTATCCCAGTGTTTGGCATATAATAAGCATTTATTAAATGCTTTTTCACTCATTCAAGGCAGTTAGGTGGCAGAGTAGGTAGAGTGCTGGGCTCATCTTCCATAATTCAAATGTGGCCTCATACACTTACTAGCTGTGTAACCCTGGGCAAGTCACTTAACCCTGTTTGCCTCAGTTTCCTCATCTGTAAAATGAGCTGGAAAAAGAAATGGCAAACCAATCAGTGTCTTTGCCAAGAAAACCCCAAATGGAATCACAACGTGTCAAACAGAACTGAAAAAACTACTGAACAACAGCTTTTCATTAATTCACATTACTGAACTTGTCACCTAGCCCACATCTCAGTATCTCATTTAGTAGAATAACAACAATTAGTTTTTTTCAAATGTTTTTCTAAAATCTAGGTAAACTTTAGCCTCTCAACGACACAAAGTTAGAGCTCTAGTAAACTTGTCAAAAATGGATATGAGATTTTTCTAGCAATACTTGTTTTGATAAAGCTGTCTTGGTTCCCTTAAGACCACCATTTCTATAACTCCATAAAGAAATGCTTAGGATGTGATGATACCATTTGGATGAAAATTAATATTCTTATACTTTTTTAAAATAGGTAAATATCCCCAGTGTAATCTCATTTACATTTTTCAGTTGTCTGCCAAGCCCGTGTATATTTATTCAAAAGGTAATGCTAAAGAAAACTTCCAGTTTAAATTATTACAAATCTGAGTTAGGTTTTACAAGTACCATTTTTTTTTCAGTAAGGACTTCTTTTTGTGCATAATGCCTACAGCTCAGAGCTTTTAACTCATGCAATTACATTGTTTTATAGCTAGGACCTAGAGCAGGGGTGGGGAACCTGTAGCCTCCAGGCCACATGTGGCCCTCTGGGTCCTCAAGTGTGGCCCGTTGACTGAATCCAAACTTCACAGAACAAATCCCCTTAATAAAAGGATTTGTTGTATAAAACTTGGACTTAGTCAAAAGGTCACCCCGAAGGACCTAGCAAGTGAAAAGGGTTATAACTTCTCAAGCTGTTACTTCCCTTACTTTACTTCCTCCTCCCCTAATCTTAATTAGCTATAGTTCATTAGCTCTGCAGAGTGATTTTTGGCAATTTAAATGGTATGCCCCAAGGAGGTCTAAGGGCACTCTGAATTTCTTGTAATTCCACCTCTCCTGTGGTTGTTCCAGACTAGTGGTCTCATGGGTGTAGGGAGCTCTCTGCACTTACATAGATCAGCAAATTGTACAATTTAGAAATTTGCCTTGAGCACTGAGAGATTAAATGACTTGTCCACAGTCACACAGCTGAGACTTGTCAGAGGCAGGACCTGAATCCAGGTTGTCTTAGCTTGGAGTCCAGCCTTCTACCTAAGACCCCAAGTTACTTCTCTAAATTCAGTATATCTAGGAAGTATTTTCCATCAGCCTGCTCACTTAACAATCTCATGTAAATGACCAATATGGATTTACCATTAGGCCTGCTAACTTGCTGGGACTTGGTGAAGACAGTTTTTTTCCTCTCTAGAGACCCATTTCTTTTCATTTGGACCACCATAACTAGGGAACCATGAATGGGAAAAGGTCAGGATTTTTTTTTTCTGGTCTAGTAACTTTTTTCTCCAAGGAGGCCTGCCTTCTTGTCGCCATCGGCAACTTCTAAAACAGTGATAATTAGCCCAAACAGTATTGTGATAGAAAATTAGGTAAAAACTCCTAGTTTTCAGGACATTAACTCATTTTAGAAATGGGAAGATTACCAGCTCTCAGGACATTAGCTTCCTATACTGACAAAAGCACCAACCAAGAGAAGCATTTTACCAGGACTGCATGGGGCTCACCTATTCTCTGTCAACATTTCTGTGCACAGCGGGGCTCTTGGCTGGGTTGGAGAAGGGGGGGGATGGGGGCTACATGGGGTGCTTCCCTTCAGCCTCCATATTGTTCAAAAGAAAGTATGTCACACAAGGAGAAATTTCAGAGTGGTTTAGTTCTGGCCCTCTTTTCTACCCCCCCCCCAATCCCATGATTCCCTTCCCCCACCCAAGCTCTTCATGACAGAAAGGAAGGAACAAAGATGACCACTTCATTTTTTGCAAACATATTGATGTGGATTTGGAAGTTAAATTGTTTAGGCAAAAAAGAAAGAAAATTTTGTTACTATAGATTCAAAAAGCCATCAGAGACTTCTAGAAAAATCAGAAATTATGCTTATTTTTCACCCTAGCTGATAAAAAATGGTTCCATTTTACATTTTACAGGTGAAATAGAAATTTCTGTGAGGTAAAATTGGTTAAAAAAATTCCCGAAAGCTTTTTAAAAGTAGACTATTGTTCTAATAATACTACCATTTAGAAAGCAAGATTATAAAGCACTTCTTACCTCATCAGAGCCAGATCCAAAAATCAGCAAGTCAAAAGGTATCGCTGCAACCATATCAATCAGGAACCAGCCTTTGAAGTAATGAATTGCAATTTTGGCTGGATCACTTACCACTTCTTCATTCTGGTTTACATAGGTGGTTCGAAAGTTTATTAGAATATCTATGATAAACATAATATCCACAATCAAGTCTACCACATTGAGGGGGCTGCAAGAATAGCCACACTCTCTTCTCTTCTGCTCTTCTCTGTCATTCAGGAGAAAGGCTGCAGAGTAAGGGGTGAATATAGCAGTGTATATGACCAGCAACAGGATAAGCCAGTCCCAGACGGCTTTGAAAGGGCTGTAGTGCAATATAGTAAACTTGTTGATCCGAGGCGTCTGTAGTTTATATTCTGGCAAGACATCTGCTCCTAAGGATAGAACCTGAGGACAGAAAAGAAAGAAACAATAATCTGTAAAATGTTATTGTTTAGGCTGGGGAGCCTGTAAAATCATCTGTTAAATGATTGATAATAGGATCCGTCGTCGTCGTTGTTGTTGAGATATGTGATTTCAGTACCCAGAGCACCTGCTCAGCTCTAGTCTTATTGTTCTGGACCCTAAAAAGGGAAGACTTGTCTATGGGTACGCAACCAGTCTGTGTCAGAGAAGATTTGAACTTTCAGGTCTCCTTACCTCCAAGACCTGCCCTCTATCCACTAAGCCAAACTATTTCTCAATAGAATCACATATTTAGAATAGTAAGTGATCTTATTACTTAAGAAAGTGAGGGGGAAAATGTTAATAATGAGGTTTAAACTCAAAAGTTTGTTGTGATTATAATTTTTTTTTCTTCAGAGAGCCCTATGTTTACCGGCACACTGATCTTAAGAGGTCTTCTAGTGGAACTCTCCTACTTTACAGATGACGAATAGGGGAAGGTTCAGGGTTTCTCCTCCCTCACCCCCAGAGTCACAGTCAGTAAAAGGAAAAGGCAGCAGATGCTCAGATTTCTAAAGTAAGCACACTTTCCACTGAACCATATTCAACACTGAATGTCACTTTGAAATACATATGGAGAACCCACACATTTTCAAGATTAACTTAATAAAAACCCGATAGATTTGCTCCAAATTAGTTCTGGTAATATTTCATAAGAGAATAAAAAGGCAACTTTTCTCAAATGCTCTCTGTATGGAAAAACATAAATAACAAATGTTACTACTCAGATGAGAAGTAGCTTTTGGGGGACTAATTACAATTCTGTTAGGTAAACATGTTGTTCAATTTTTACAGTATGGAACTGAATTTGATTCATGAGTAAAAAAACCTAAGAAAGGAGAGCCTGTAATGGACCAAGAAACATGATAGAAAAGTATCTTGGGAGCCAGGGTCACAAATTTTAGTTACCACTAACAATTAAATCTCAATTAATCAAATGTATTTGACCAAAGCCTTCAATTAATCAGAATTCTTCCCACCTTCTTCCTCCCATACACTCACATCATATTTTGCATGTGGGAAAGCTAAATCAACAGCAGAATTTCATAGTGTGAATTGATTTCATTTGTTTGTTTACTAAGGAAAAGTGTTGAAAGTTATATAATGAGCTTAGTATCCATTTAATCCATGTTCTAGCACAAAGAGATACATACCCACCAAAGTCTTACTCTCACAACTCATCATGGGGTACAGGTAAGTGACTAACTGAAGGCAATGTCAATAGAATACAATGGAATGTTGGCTCTGCTAAGCTGGAAAGGCTTTGAGTACGGTCCCAATAACAGACTATTGTTCATACGCTAGCCTCATTAGTTCTGAGAGGTGCCTTGTAAGAACATTGGCTAGTAAGTGATGAATTTTTTGGCTGTGGCAACCTATAAAATAAATAAATACATAATATGGTCTCCAGTCTTACGTGGCCTCCTTCCATGTATGCAGTGACAAAGCAGAATGGTGGAAAAGGTGGCAGTGGGTTCAAAGAATCACATGCAATTATTAGATTTTCTGAGAATGTGATGTTTTTTAGTCTTGTCAGTTCCATTCCCTTCAAATAGTCTGCTTAACAACTAAAGTGGCCTCCTTGCCATTCTTTGTTCTTGCCCTGCCCTTTCTCACCGATATACTTTTGTGCTTGCTGTCCCCCATACCTGCAATGGGCTCCCCTATCTGTTGAAATCCTTTTGGTCCTTCAAGGGCTACCTCTGCTACCACTTCCTACAAGCTTCTCTGATTCTCAGCTATAAGTGACCTCTCCCTTCTCACATCTGTCATGCCACTCCACTCTCCTAACTTGTGTTATAGTTATTTGTGTATGTTCTTTTCCTCTATTAAGATGTAAACTCCCTTGAAGTAGGAGAAAATGGTGACAGAAAATTGTTAATATAATGACGGAAGTTGTTAATACCAAATGTATATGGACAGCCACTCCTTTAAGTGATCTTTGTAATGTCAGAATTTCAGTAATGTCCTTACATTCCTACACTTAAGATATTTACTTTTGATTAGGTTGAGCTGAACCATAACCTAGGTCCCTTCATCCTGAGATCTTGCCTTGTGGGGGAGCCCAGCTCAAGCTAGATCTCAGCTTCGAGTGTCCTTGCCCCCTTCAGTGGGCTTCATGGCATGAAGGGCAAAACAGCCAGAATGAAATGTTTTTTCTTGGTTGGATTGCCATGGGCCACTGGGGTCTCATGACCAGGCCTTGCTACCCCATACTACCTCCTTCCTCTATTCTCCCAAAGGTATAAGAATCTTTTGCATGGCTCTTAAAAGTTGAGAAATCCACTGGACAGCCACCCAGGGTGGCAATTCTGCTACCTAGTTATCTTAATTAAAGACACTTTATGTCTCAGTTCATGCCTTTGATTTATTTCAGGACTTGATACCTAATTAGTCAGTATCTATTGCTGAGGTTTTTTGGACTGTACACCTGTGATTTCAGTCGTATAGGAAGTGCCTGATATAGGGAAGAAGCTTCCTCTATCAGTGCAGATCAGGAACTTTTTGGCACCTTAGAATTGCTCGGGGGCACTGAGAAGGTAAGGGATTGGTACATTTCACATAGGCAGCGTGTATTAGAAGGTTGGTCATCCTAACTGCAAAACTAAGCTGCAGCTCTAGGGATGACTATAGTTCTCACTACATTTGCCCAGACTTCCCAAATCATGGATCCTCAGACTTGTAATCATGCTGCTGATGGCTCACATGTGTAGTGTCCTGCAAATGTAAAGAATGTAAATATGTCTCCTCCGTGGAAAAATATGTTACTCCTGTTGTCCTGTTGGGTGCCTCATATGTGCAGAGGTTTTAAGTAGGGGAGTTCTTAGAAGACCTTGACAAGATCTTCAAACTAAGCCAGCCTATAACATGATACTAGGTGACTTCAAGATGAAAGTGGACGCAGGAGAGCACTATTAAAATTATGTTAGGACATATATAATGAGAATAAGAAAACAGAGAGGTCAAAAAAGCATGCGGATTACTTAGGAGCCTCATACCGGTGAGTTGGCAATACTAAAAATGTGCTGACTATAGCACAATGAACTGTCTTAAAAAACAGGAAGTGTCTTAATGGATCAGAAATGACTGGTTACACATGGAGCAATTTAAGGATCAGTTGTTAGGATTTAGTCAGATTACTGATCGATTAAAGCACAGGTTCAAATCAATACTAAATAAAAAGAGATGCTAAAGACAAGAAGACTGTAAATAATTATAGCAGTTCCATTCCAGCTTTAAAAATTCAAATGATCAGTTCTGAAAAAATGGGAAATGAACAGCAGTAAAGACATTGACTCTGACATCATTTCTTAGAGAAGCTGAACTGGTTCAAAACAGCTACCACAACAAGGAGAAAGAAAGAGAACAGAAACTACCTAGCCAGGAAATATTTCATCTATCTTAGGGTAGGTTTGAACTAGAAGTACAATAGCACAAAATAAGGCAGTGGGATCATAACTTTAAAGCTAGAAGGGACTTCAGAGACCATTTAGTTTACCACCATATATTACAGATGAGGAAACAAGATTGGAAATGTTAAATGGCTCGCCAAGGTCATAAAGATATTAAAACAAAAACAGAAACAAAAACAGCACCAGGATAGAATGAGGACATTGTAACGTGAAATCTTTGAATGAAATAAATTTATTAACTGGGTTGAAAAAACTGTGAATCTTCAAAACATTAGAACACGTGAAAACATATTCCACCATCAAATACAAATAATTTTTGCATTATCTGTAGCTTTGGTCTCTCTTTCTCCAACCAAATCCAATCCAACTAGAATTTATTAAGACCCAATAAATAAAGCACTGTCCTATAGATAGAGCTGTACCTCTAGTGAGGTGCACATTGGTCAGAATAAATTGTGACATTTTAAGAGGTACTAGAGAGATAAAAGGAAAAATGCCAAGAGGCACATGCCGGTCACTCTGCTGTTCTAACGATGAGAGGTCCAATCCGAACTATCTATTGGTAGTGTTTTCAGGCAATGTCCTAGGAAATGAACTGATTTCAAACAGTGACTAGACGGTTATACAATATTTACTGCTATAAAGATAAATAGCATGTTTATAGACTACTGACCAAAAGAAAATGCTTCATTGACATGTAGAGAGAATTATCCTCTTCCATTCATTTGTGAAATAAAATATTTTAAAACAAAAAATGTTGATTTATTAAAAAAAATTTATCTTAAGGAATAAAAAGAAAAGCAAACTATACCATATAAATAGAGGAAACATCATAGACCCAAGGGCCATATTGTTAGTTTCCTTTTTTTAATTTCTAAACTAGTGATTAAATGTAAAGTTTAATACAGGCCAAAATATGGCTTTCTTTACCAAATACATTTTTTTCCTCCTTACTAACACATGGCAATTTGTTTAACCTGGGAATTAAGTGTTACATAAAACCTGAATACTTAGTAACCTAGACAGCGCTATTTATTCAATGAAGATCTACTGTGAAAATTTTGTGAGAGCACCAGGATTAATAACCGCTCTTCTCTTTTGAAAAGTGCAGTGGGGAACGATTAAGGCATCCAAAAGATTATACAGTGCTTTTGGCAGCTCTTAAACATCATGCTGAGGTGTTGGTAGAGAAAGCTCGCTTGTTATTTATTCTTTACTTGGGGTTTGCACTTAACTAATGGGCTAGCTGTGTTTTTGTATATAAGAAAGATTAGTCAGTAGCAAAGTGAATCATATAGATTATATAGCATGAGGAACAGATTTAAACCTCTCAGGTTTTCATTGTGTGACAACTAAATACAATAGAAGATGCAAAATTGTCATCCTGAACAGGCATTCTCATTGCTAATCATCCAGCTATTTAGATTAAATTAAAAGAAAAAACCAAACAAATGCCACATGGTACAAATTAAGTCTGTCCTATCCCCAAATGCTTTTTTTTAAAACTTTTTATTTGGAAGAAGTTTAATT